ACGGTCATGTCATCAATATTTGTAAAATGGACCTCAGAGAGATTGCAATGAGGATTCTTCTGGAAGAAAGTTATGACGGTTTCCACCAAAATACTTGCACAAAGATCAAGGGGAAATCCAAATATGCCTGCACTGACTGCAGGGATGGCTATTGAGCGGTAGTTCTTTGCACTTTCAAGACAATTCTCAAAGGCAAACTTTAGGATATTCTTCTTTCTTCTTGACCCGCTATCTCCTTGATCTSKGAATGAATCCCAGCGAGGGCCAACAGCGTGGATAATTYTTTTACAAGGTAGCTGTCCAGGTCCTGTTTCCAGCACATGGCCCTCGATAAGTGGACCATGTGTGTTTWTGTATCTGTTACATTCACTTTGTATTCCTTGGCCACCGACYCTAACAATATCCCGTGCCAACSCTCCAACATGCTGAAGATTCTCGTTGGCTGCATTGACGATCACATCCACTGGATGTTTTGTAAGATCATCTTTATAGACAACGAGCTTTTTCTTTTCCATTGTGGTGTAGCTGCAAATTACCTCTCCATTCGCCACTCTTTTGGAGCCCCCCATTCCTTTCGAAGAGCTTGCTCCCTGTTCCTCCAGCTGATCCAGGTCAACTAACTCAACAGTGCACTTGTTTTCAGCTTCTATGGCTTTAATAACTTTAGTACCTTTGCTCGACTTAAAGAACTTTTTCATGCCTGGTTTATCGATTTTAATTTCCTCGTCACATACTTTTTGGACTAAAGACATCACAAATTCTTTACTTTTTTCAATGCCTTCACGTGTACCAGTTAGTCTTATTTCACCGCAATCACCTGGCTTTATTTTAACAAAGGCATCACGCAATCCGGCATGAAGACCTTTGATTTCATTGTCGAATCTTTGGAAAAGGAACCTTGAGCAACCATCGCTGACCGCGACGTTGTCCTCCAGAATTGTRTTTTTCTCGATGTAGCATTCCACAACCGTGAAGCATTCTAGGGCATCTTGCTCAACTCCGCTTATCCATAGCGTTTGACACTGTTCTTCAAACCAGATATTCACCACGGTTTGTGCTTCCTTGAAGCTCGCTACGAGTTCATTCCATTTTCGACTTTGGATAACTGGAATGTTTTCGTCTTTGAGATGGATACTTCTTTCTGTTGAAAATGACTCGATGAGCTTCATTGCTTGTCTTGCCTGGTCCTTGTTTAYGGCAAATATTGAAGCTTCATTTTTACCTTTCCTTTGACCATGGACAAGTACCGCTTGTATCTGATTTTGTGAAAGAGATTTACAAACATAKTCTCTTCCCTTGGGAGTCTGGAGGACTCCGATAATTCTTTCAGGTAATTCTAAAACTTCTTCTTTGACCTTTGAAAAGAACTTGTACAATTCAATACTTATTTCCTGGAGACATTTTCTGGGCCCTTTTATGATGACTTCTCCATCATTTTCTTTGACTTCCATGTCAACATGTTTGTTAGATGCTTGAAGGTCTTGAAAAAGATCAGAAATCTTCAAAAGAGCCAGTTTCCCTGATYCTAARTCTTTCTCCACCKYWGTTTCGATGGAATCTTGTAGAGCTTTGTCGTCTTGTATCCCGCGAACCAATGTTTCTACTGCACTTACAGCCATTTGCAGGCGGTCTTTTTTTCCAGTAATTCTTATCTCATTTGCTGATTCATGGGTTGTGAWATCAGTATCAMTAAATTCATCCTTAGAAGTCAGTTCTTTCTTGATAGCTTCCAGTACTTCATCCCAAACTTTAGCCTCAACACTGATTCGCTGGCATTTGAAATCGCCAAAATATTCCTGCAGAAATTTAATTCGTTTTCCCCAAGGCTGACCTTTATTTGTYGTCTCTTCWTTTTCTGTCATTACTGCAGACTCTTTTTYGGTTGTCCACTCCAAGTCAATTCCAGCCTCGTCTAGTAGATCCTGCAGTTCATCTGAATAGCACCTTGAAATACAAGCCATGATATCTGGGTCTATATCGATTTCTTCAGTTTTCTTTTTCTTGTTATGTCTTTTCTTTGTTGCTTTTTCCTCACTCAAGAAAGGGTAAAACATCTCCATTTGTAATTCTGCGTCCTCCAATACGTGTCTTTTACTCAAGGCTTTATCAATAACTGACAAATAAAATGAAATTTAAAGAAAATTAAAACTATGAAATCAGTTGTAAGGAACTTTTAGTGGTTAAGGAGGTTTTTACCTTACCTAGCTAATATGTTGACACTGGCAGACAAAAAAAGAAAAAGCAACAACGGCAACAGCAAATAAACAACATCAACAAATGCATATAATACCTGAAGGATCWTCAAAGTACACAAGTGCTCTTCCTTGTCCTTGGAGGTCTACTTCACGAGGCTCCACTCCACATCCTTTTCTTTCATTTTCAAAATACAATTCTAATGAATCTTTCGTTGTTTTGACATCTAAACCCGACACCTGGATACAGCAACAGTATGGAACGCTTTCCAGCATGGGCTTACATCCGTCCAGGCCCTTTATATCATTTTCTATCCTTTTTGCCAATTGTTCGAAATCTAGAGGGCAAAGAAGAGCCATTATAAACCTTAGAAAGCATAGTTTAAAAATGGGCAAATGAGCTAGTGCTGTCTGTCACGGCTTTGAGATAATGTATAAATATAGTGGAGAATTTTCGTAACGTAAACGTTGTAAAAACGTTGTAAAAACGACTATACTTTACCTATGGGCTCTTTGAACGAAATAATTGCATTGCTATAGGATCCAAGCTGCACGTACTTTACTCCTTTATTGCTCATTTTTTCCATATATAACCCTAGACCATCTATAGTTGTTATAGGACTTAAACCTTTAACATGAACCTTGAAGGGATCCAGTGGTATTTCTTTCTCTGGCTCCTTGACTTCTATTTGCAAGTTGGTATCATCAAGTCGGTGTTGATTACCAAGTAGCTGATCTAAACCTAAAACAAATTAACATTGAAGAAAGTGTAAAAAAAAAAGAATGAAAAGAATATATGAGACCTTCAAGTAAGGAAGCGCATAATTAATCTACAAACAGAATTTCGAGAAAGGAGTATCCTAATTTTTGTTTTATTTGTAACTGTACATGAATAAGTGAAGAGGAAATGGGGGAGGAGTGATGACATTTTAGCTGTTGTGACAATCTACGATCTATTGGGTTTCCTCCAGAAAACCAACATGTCAGAATGTAAATAAAGAGGGAGAATTATTATAATTCAATTCTGGATTAGTTCGACTTACATTTAACTTTCCGAAACTTTACTTCAGCAACGCGTTCCACTTCATCAAACGATAGGTCTTCTACCTCACCTCCCCCAGAACGTCGAGTGTTTTCGAGGTAATTTATCAGCGCATCTTCTGTTGTTATCTTCGACATACCACTTACTACAAACTCGAGGGGCAGCGCTTCATCTGAGGGCGTATCACTAATTGATTTTTTCTTTCCTTTATGAAGTTTCTCCTTATCATCTTTAGGGATTACCAAAGCCACGCTTAAGCGGGCATTGTCTAACTTGTGTTTTTCATATTCTGYCACTCGCTTGGCATCTGTCAATAGGGGAAAAAATGCTAAGTAACTCAACTTGCTTATCGTAGTATCCATAGCTCTTTGCTAGCTTATGCGTTGTCTAGAATCATTTTTGTATCCTTTTTGGATGAAGAGTGGTCTTCAAATCGATACACTGGCAMAGGCGCAGGCGYAGATAGCATTACATGATCAGTTTTATAATAGTTTTCTGTAGCTTCACTGAAATAGTGTTTAAGATGCTAACGGTCTAAYTGGTATAGCTGAAAATRCATTGTYGTTGTTTCGCTCATTGAAATAGTAAGGTCAGGTTWTTTTTGAGAATCTSTTCAGTTCCTAACTCACTACGACTCGGCTGTTAATATTTATGATGTTTAAATGTTTATTCCGGCTTTTTTCTTTGCATGCTGTGACCGGCCGAGCACAAAATAATACAAAACCAAAGAACAATGYAAACATTCCCTGAATATGTCTAAGTTGCCCACTGTTTTCGATTCGCACGTACAATGTAAGAGGTTGGCACATTTACTATACAAATAGCTATGCTATACATACGCAAAGCAGCCTCAAAAGGTGCTCACATTTCCCATGGTTTAACAAAAATCGGTATTATAGTATCATAGGGCCGTAGCAAGGTCAAAAGTATTGGTGGGTATTCTAAAGCTATCATGCCACACCCATAGACATTGAAAGACAGCCAAACGTTGAATTGTACCCCAAAGGAAACGAAACGTCACCAAATTGATGAAATGGACCTTCATAACATGCCGGCGGCCATGTTTAATCTCATGAGAATAAAAACCTTTGTTTCATTTGTATATTTTTTCTCAAATACTTCAAATGTGAGGTAACGCTTGGTAAATCTATTGTTCAAACCAACATGGCTGCCGCGTGAAAATGGCCCATTGACGGTAATGAGGTGGCTATAGGTTGCACTTAAATGGCTTTRTCTCAATCTAGTAGTATTCTGTATACTTTATGAATCAGGACACGGCCAGCTTCGTAATGTAATAACGTATCTTTTTTCATTAAACTCTGTTGTCTCGTGCTATATATGACATTTTAAATATTAGCCAAAGCAGTTGAAAAATTATTGGGGGGGGGGGGGGGGAGTTCCCATTACCCTGACCCTTGCTACGGCCCTGTATATGAACTGTCCTCTTTGTTTAAATTGAGGCTTTCACTTTACCTTTGTGATAACGAAACACTACAATTGCCACGTTAAGAGTATTCTGTAGTTCCACCTTTCTCACATCTCCCCCTTTTGATTTGTTCTTGTTTTCAAAATAGTTTTGAATCGAATCTTTTGTGGTTCGGTGTGACAGATTACTAACTCGTACWGTACAAAGTTCTTCAGGATCGCCTGTTTCCTTTTCATCACTGCTGCTGGCGCTGTTTTCGTCACTCGCGGGATCATCGTCTATGTCTCCTGTTGACCATGGTTGGGTTTCTGTCCTTTGATTTCTTGTTGGGACTGTGATGTGTATAGCATGGCCGTTGATAACATGTTCCTTTGCTAGAACGTTATTTGCAACTAAATTCAAGTAATAATAGAATTTATGACTAAACTGACAAGTATTCATTAAATTCAAGAAATAATATGTAAACTGAAATTTCAGTCCACTGTCCACTAAAGGCAAAATTAGTAGCATTTATAATAATTATTAGTATAATTTTAGACTTTTTGAGTTGCTCGAGCTGTGATTGGACTAGCGACCAGTGATTTTGAGACGTTAATCACCGCTGGAGCGGCGATCATGAGGTTTTCCAAAGTTTTCCAGATCGGAAGTAATACTAAAACATTTTTTTTAATCCTGAATTTCGATTTTTCTCAGATATTCAAGTCTAAAATTATAATAAGACAATTATTCCCCGAAGGCGAAGTTTAAAAATAACATGTAGATGCTTGTATGRCGCATTTCCAGCCTCCATGCGCCGTACATGTAAAGCCGTGACAGTCTAAACACGGTAGTATCGGCGTACGTACGGGAATTGTCAGGGGGATTCTATTCAAATTCAAAACACACATGTATACGTATACACCTAATTGAAAAAAACTTAGTCGGGT